TTCTTTCTATTTTCATCCAATGTATGCTTTGGTACGCTTCTTGCTTCTTCTTAAAGAAAATTTGGACTCATTTCTTTGAATCTGAAGATCAATTACATTGTTACCCTATGGTTAGTTGTAATTTAATGGTTAGTAGCATTTCCATCGTACTTGTTTGATCCCTCAGGTTCTGAAACAAAAGAAACTGGCTAATGTGCCTAGCTTAGGATTTGGTGCATTAGTTTCTCCTGGCAGGGATGTTTCACTAGGTCCCCAGATAATCCAGCGCGATCCACATCGCTGCCAAAATTGTGGAGCTTATGCCAATCTTTACTGCAATATCTTACTCGGTTCAGGCCAGTGGCAGTGTGTAATATGTAGGAACTTGAATGGAAGTGAAGGTGAATACATAGCTCCAAGCAAAGAAGAGCTTCGGAATCTGCCTGAACTATCATCTCCTTTGGTCGATTATGTCCAAACTAGTAACAAAAGACCTGGCTTTGTTCCTGTATCTGAATCTAGAGTATCTGCCCCCATTGTTCTGGTAATAGATGAGTGTTTAGACGAACAACATCTGCAGCATCTGCAGAGCTCCTTGCATGCATTTGTGGATTCCCTACCCCAAACAACTCGAATCGGAATTGTGCTCTATGGCCGCACGGTTTCAGTGTATGATTTCTCTGAAGAATCTATGGCATCTGCCGATGTGCTTCCTGGTACTAAATCACCAAGTGAAGAAGAATTAAGGGCATTAATCTATGGAAGTGGGATATATTTGTCGCCAGTCCATGCTTCTCTTCCGGTAGCACATGCAATCTTGTCATCATTGACGCCATATAAGCTGATCCTTCCAGAAGTCTCTCGAGATCGTTGCTTAGGTACGGCTGTGGAGGTTGCAATGGCAATTATTCAGGGACCATCAGCTGAAATGTCGAGAGGGATTGTCAAAAGGCCCGGTGGAAATAGTAGGATCATTGTGTGCGCTGGTGGGCCGAACACTTATGGCCCTGGTTCAGTTCCACATTCTCTTAGTCATTCAAATTATCCATATTTGGAGAAAACTGCAATTAAAAGGATGGAGACTTTAGGCCGTGAAGCTCAGCGTTGTAATACAGTTGTGGATATACTTTGCGCTGGGACATGCCCTGTTCGTGTTCCTATACTGCAGCCTCTTGCAAAATCATCCGGAGGTGTTCTGATCCTCCATGATGACTTTGGGGAAGCATTTGGTGTGAACTTACAGAGGGCATCCACGAGAGCTGCAGGTTCTCATGGTTTGGTGGAAATCCGGTGTTCGGATAATATATTTGTTAGTCAAGTCATTGGTCCCGGAGAGGAGGCACATGTGGACAGTCACGAGTCGTATAAGTCTGATAATTCTGTTTCTATACAGATGCTGAGCGTTGAAGAGACACAGAGTTTTGCGGTATCGATGGAAACTCGTGGGGATATCAAGAGCGATTTTGTATACTTCCAATTCGGTATTCAATATTCGAATGTGTATCAAGCTGATATCTCGAGAGTAATTACTGTTCGGCTGCCTACAGTGGACAGTATTTCGGCTTATCTGGAGAGTGTTCAGAGCGAAGTAGCTGCTGTTCTTACCGGAAAGCGGACTCTTTTGCGAGCGAAAAACTTCCGTGATGCTGTTGATATGCGAGCAACTCTGGACGAGAGGATTAAAGATGTTGCGAGCAAGTTTGGTTCGCAGGTTACCAAGTCAAAGCATTATTATCGGTACCCTAAAGAGCTCTCGCTATTGCCCGAGCTCTTGTTTCATCTTAGAAGAGGCCCACTCTTGGGAAGTATAATTGGTCATGAAGATGAAAGGTCTGTTTTGCGCTCTTTATTCCTGAATGCATCCTTTGATCTGTCCCTTCGTATGCTTGCACCCCGCTGTCTAATGCATCGAGAAGGTGGAACTTTTGAGGAACTACCAGCTTATGACCTTGCTATGCAGTCTGATGCTGCCGTTGTTCTGGATCATGGCACTGATATCTTCATTTGGCTGGTATGCCATTATAAAAGCCTTTTGTACGGTTAAAATATTGCATTTGGAGACAGCACTAATCATATAATGCATGGTTTGATTAACTCTTGATTACCATTTGCTAACGGAAAATTATGAACTTTTTCTCTTATTCTTGCTAAAATATCTATTTATCTTTCATGCTACTCCACGTGCACATCGTTTTCTTGATCATAACATGTGAACTGCAGTTCGTTCTTTTCTATTGAAAAGTAATATGAACTGCTATGCTAAGTACTTATAGTGTCATGGCGTATATTTAGTTATGTATATATTTGGAGAATAACATTAGTATTCTTACACTGATGAACATCTCTCTTAGACTTTGTTGTATGTGGATCATGTTGATTCAGTGCTAGCACCACCTGACTTCTGCAAACAATCCAATTTTTAGCTTATGATGACAACGGAACACCACTATCATCCTTCTTTTTAACATTTTGATTCATTTTCAGAAACAACTTTACGGTTTTAACTGCTCGTGTTTTGATGGACATATATGTATGATTGATGACCACTTTACCTACATTCATGTTCTATTACGCTAGTAGGATGAAGCTATACTATATTATATAACTTGAATAAATCTATCTAGGTATCCATCCTTACCTCATATTTGTGCTTCAATCTCAAGTTGTTAGAAGTTCAAAGTTCCATAACTTTTTAACCATAATACTTATTGGGGTCGTTCTGTCTCCACTAAACTTTTGATATTCTTTTTATTTGCAACTCAGCTTAGTTATGACTATAAATTGACTCAATATTATCATGAAGTCTCTTTATGGGACATTTGTGTCTTCATTTTTGTAAATTACATAGTATACTCTTCCACTCAATACACTATATTTGCTGCTTTTAGTGTACATATTATCTTGTTTGTTGTGGATTTGGAATTTATTATAGGTGAACCTTTAAAAGTACTTTGTTACGACTTGTTTCGACTCCTTAAAGACTTTGTACTGTCTTTTGATGCATGAGCCAATTGTTTTTTTTTTTTTCGTCTAAATGAATATGCAATAAATTCTTATTCCGGCTCTTTTTTTTTTCATCTCTTTTATAGACAAACTTTTTCATCGACTGATTTATGTTTTTCAGGGTGCCGAACTTGCTGCACAGGAAGGGAAGAGTGCAGCAGCTTTGGCAGCGTGTAGAACGTTGGCTGAGGAGCTGAGTGAGCTGAGATTTCCTGCTCCTAGGATTCTTGCTTTTAAGGTTTCTAGAACTTTCTACCAACTATTAAAAAAATTGAATTTCCAAATTACTCTAGATTGTATAATTAATTATGAATGCTTTCTTTTGGGTGCAATAGGAGGGGAGCTCTCAGGCTCGATATTTTGTTTCTCGCCTCATACCAGCACATAAAGACCCTCCTTATGAGCAGGTAAATGCAACTGTGCAAAGCTACATATGCAATTTACATTAAAATTGTGTTGATATTTTGTAGATATTAGTTGAGGAGGTGAAATTGGATAATTCCTCAATCATCTATTATTATTTATAGGCAAAAAATGCATTTTTAGTCCCAAGGTTCCAACTTTTCGCCTTTTGGTCCTGTGATTTAATATTTTGATGCAATTTCAGTCATTTGAGGACTGAAATTGCAAGACTTAAATTGCAACAAAATTTTAAATTATAGAGCTTAAATTGCTAATCATAACATGAATTTGGGTATTTGTTGCAATCAGGATCAAAAGACGAAATGTTAGAATATTGGGACTAAAATAACTATGGCGTTAAACCAGCAGGACTAGAAATGCAATTTAGCCTTATTTGTATAATAATAATTGCTCAACTAACTACCAGGAGGCAAGGTTTCCTCAGCTTCGAACATTGAGTTCAGAACAACGAATGAAGCTGAAAAGTAGTTTTGTTCACTTTGATGATCCTAGCTTTTGTGAGTGGATGCGGAGTTTGAATGTTTCGCCACCGGAGCCAATAAGCTGATGGGATTTGCACCTTCAGTTTTTAACGGTAAATGTTCCCAACTGTGAAGGAGTGGATCATTACAAGTGGGATATAGTTCAATCTTTTTTTTTATTTTTTTACATTTTTAATTTTACAGAAAAATGTACGTACAGATCGAAAGATATGAACGATTGACATATTTACTCCGTTTCAATGCGATTCAAATTTTTCGGTTGGATTGGGAGCTAACAAGTAACAACTATAGAATCATTCTTCCCGTGATTAATTTGAGGTGTTTACTAATTTGATTCATATATCTCTCTCTCTCTCTCTCTCTCTCTCACACACACACACACACACACACACACACACATAAGCTGATGGGATTTGCACCATCAGTATTTGGTTAAAATAAGTATATTCTATTCTGATTTGGTTTTGTAATTAGCCATAACTCTTTGAGAAAATAAATTTAGTTATTCCATAATAATTTTTCTTTTCAAAGCACAAGTTGAAAATATATTTTTATACCATCTGAAATTAGAAAGAGTTGAACATTTTAATTTTGTAAAAAACAAATATTTTAAGATGCCAATTTTGTTTAGGATAATTCCTACGAAATGCATCGCTATTATTACTAAAAAAATCACTAAAAAAAGCATACGAGTTGTTAAAAATTTAGTATTTCCTTCAAGATCTTCTATAGTATGCTCAATAACATCGATTTGATTTTATTTTGTAATGTTAGCGAATAGGCCGACAATTTAATTGACCGATATATTTAAAAATTTGTAAGTAAATGGTAAATAAGCTCAAAAAAA